GCAAGAGATCTGACTTGGTATTGCTCCAACCCTGCAAGGGTGCCTGCACGAGCAGATCTGGACCCAACACGTGAATGTGCACCTCTTGGGTGACTGCAGGACACTTTGAAATGGACTGGAAAACAGCATTTGAGGCACATGTGTGGAGAACAAACACCTTCCATGCTTTCCTTCAAGGAACAGCTCCTCATCTCCACCGGTCTTCAGTCTGGATGCTGCTCTTTGTGCAATGTTTACGCCTTTTGGAGGACCTGTTTTTCTGGCAAGGCAAAGAGTTTGCTGGTCACAACCATAATCCTTCTTGGAATATCCTGAAGTCCTTCAAACGAGTTAGTGCATTGGAGAATTTTACTAGCAGTTTCAGGGCACAAAATAAGAAGGCTTTGTGGACACAAGATGAAAACTTCCAGTAAAACATACTATTTTCATAAGGAGAGAGAATGAACTGGATGGCCCAGTTTTATTGCCAGAAGCCAGTATTTAAGAGTGCTGCATAATCTTCCAAGAGACTGCATTTTCCTCATTGCTCAGCCAGATGGGCAAATGGAGGCACAAAGGCTTCTCACAGGATGGTTCAGCTGATCTGGGAAAAGCAGGAAGAATGACACAAGACAGTTCTTCAGGTCGTTGCTTCTTGGAAAAGTGTTCTGGCTGAAAATACTTCTTAATCAGGCTGGAAGGCAGGTTCCTATCTTGATAGCAGAGTTTGGAGCATTGCTCAGTTTTTGTTATCACACAGCTTTGTCTCACAAAGAGAGCTCCCATTATTGCAATCTGGGTGCTGGATTTCAAAACATTAATCAAGGATTAGGCCTTGGTGCTGATTTATGGGAAAACACCAGTGCCACAGTGGGTATATCCCATGTAAATGATTAATGGAGGATGTGTTCTTCGAGATGGGTCCTTGGTGCATATAAACTGGATGCACAGGCACAGTGTGTATTCCTAAGGCTGCCTCAGAAAACCAAGCTCCGGGAGAGTCTCACTGGGATTAATCCTGTCCCTGTGCCCACTCCCACAGCCCAGAGGGGGCTTTGGAAGAGCCACCCTCTCCGGGGAAGGGAGGGAAGCGGCAGCACAGCTCTGAGCTGTGTCCTCTGTAATACTGACGTATCCCTGTAGAGGGAATGCTTTGGTAAGACTTCAATGAGGCTGTGTATCTGTGTGTTTTATCAGGGACCAAATTCACTTCTTGCATCACCTGCTGAGTTCAGGAGTTAACATCAAGAGCATTTTTACCCAGTAGGTTGCTGGTAGTTGTTTTGTTGGGATTTTTTCCTACAATTTTTATTTTGCTACAATTCGCTTTCAAATTTCATCCCTGACTGAACAGGGTGGAAATGCCCATCTGATTCTGTGTGAGGGATAGGCTTTGATGCTGTCTTACATGAGCATCAAAAGCTTAGGATAACATGCATATTAAAAGTGTTTTTCACTGGCAGCTTGCAGAAGGCCCCATGGCCAGATGTAACAAGAGGGAATCCATAGCGTGTTGTTTATCAGCTCCTTCTACACTTCATCTAAAATGCACAAGGAAATCACAGTGCCTTCTGAATAACATTGGGAAATAGGGCTTTTTCACTGAAACTAAAACTATGAACCCATCAAAAATACCCCAACATTATGTGTTACTTGTGTTGATTAAAGTATGCTTTGCAACACAGGGTTTGTAATTGACCATAAAACTGTGCACTGACCTAGTCCTTTCCCTCCAATATATCAAAGTATTTAAAGACTTATCTACACACGGCCCTTAGTTCCACTGTGCCCACAGATCACCTGGGCCACAGTTTCTGATACCTCTCCCCTAGCACTGCTGCCTTGCCTTTCCAAAATGAGGGGATTTTCCTCTACTGCACTGCAAGGCCCACCTTGAAGGGAAGATGAGGGAGCAGTACAGGTGATGATGCACAGTGTCCTCTTTATTCAGGTCACAGCCACTCAGACCATTTGCCATCTGGACACCTGGCAGCTTCAATGCCACCTCCTGAGCACACAGGCCTCTGGATGCCCAAGCACAGCAAGTCACCATCCCTCAGCAGCCACCTGGGCACCAGAATGGCAGCACTGACAGCAAGCCCTTGTGGATGGCATCAGGTGGATCTGTGGTGTTAACATTTCCAAAAGCACAGACATACCCACTGAGTACTGAAAGCAAGTCTTAATCATCACAGGGACTTCCTCTGTGGATATGAATAATCTCTGAGGAGAAGGAACTTCCTCTGAGGAACCTCCCTGTCTGCTGAGCTCTGGTTCTGCAGAAACACCAATAACACTCAAACTTTGTAAGGTTTCATCGAGGAAAGACAACTTTTCTTGGGAAAGGGATGGAGCAAACATCCCTTTAATAAGCAATAAACTGCCCAGGCCAGGCACTGCTGCAGTGCAGTTTCACTTGTGTCTGTGACAGCTGCCAGAGGCTTCTCTCTCTTTTTGACTTTGGTCAATGATGAACAATTGCTCTGCAACATCCCCATTCTGCTCCTCCTTCCCCCAGCCACTGACCAGGGACCTGCTAGTCAGATCAGCACTTGGGCGGGTATGGGAGAAGCACTTTCCTCTTCCTGTAGGGAAGGATATGATTAAAACCTTGTAAATAAAAGGCTTGGCTCAAAAAAATGCCTGGGTACCTTCTGGACACAATAAGCTGTGGCTCGGGATGGTGAGAAGCAGAGGTGGGACATGGCGTGATGCATGTCACACTGGCCATGGCCTGTCTGCCCAGAGCCCAGGAGCAGTGACCTCTCAGCACAGACACCTGCTGCTTCCATGTCCTAAGGGCTAACTGAGGGGGCAACCTCAGGAGAACCTGCCACAGCCAGGACTGCACCTTCTGGAGAACTGTCACCAAGGTGGAACCCGGGTCAGAGCACAGCTCTGGTCCTGGGTGGTGCCTGTTTCACCTGCTCAGAGCCATCCCCCTTGAAAGCAGCAAACAGGCCTCACCACTGGCTGTGCAGTGGGATCCTCTCCTCTCTAAGGAGCTACCCTGGTGTGGGTTTGTGCCAGGGAGAATTGTCCTCTTCAGATCTCCTGTGTGCTGTGCTGTGTGCTACCAAGAATCCACGGGCAAATCCCACACAAAGATTTGTGTCCGTGCTCTGTGCTAAGCTCCTCTTACCCTTTTGATAATAATGGGATAAAAAAGCTTCTTTAGGAGGACAGGGACAACATTGCCCACGGAGGGGATGGGCCCCCCCAGAAGCAGGGAGGGTCTGCTGTTCTGCTTTAGTAGGGAGCAGGCAGCTGTCTAGTTTGCCAAGGGTATATCTGGGCTCACAAGCCCAGCAGCATAGACCTGTGCAGAAAAACAGGAAGAAACTACAGCTTTACTGAGGCTGAGAAGGATAACATGAAAAGGCAGAAGTTGCAATCCTCCATCCCTCTCTGTTCCTGTGCTCCCTCCATGCACGGGCCATATGCTCTGCATCCCACGCTCTGGCATTGGATTTGATGTCTCTTTATAGCTCGAGGGTGTCTTGACCAGCTTTCCAGTGTGGTCAGAAACCTGATGTTGCACTGGATTAACCCTGGGAGTCAAACCATTTACTCAGGTTCCTAAGGAACACAAAGCTGGCCATTCCCTGGGGCTTTTTAAGGATACTCATGCTGTGTCCTGGTGTACCTTTCGTTTTAACAGTGTGACACTGGTCAAAAACCAGTCCACAGAGAGATATCATAGCCCAAGGAGAAGTGCATTAGACTGAAACTCAGGGGATGTGATGCAAAGATAAAGGAAATCTATCCACATGTTGCCTAGGAAATTCACTTTATGAACTTTCCATGCCCTTTACTTGGTTCTGTCCGATATGTGCAGAGATTGAGGCTGGAACCCCAGCCTCCTGGCAGTAAGGACGACCAGAACCTGTGACGATATTACCGAAGAACAAGCGATGTCTGCGACTTCAGGGCCGTTTCCTCCCGCACCGCTGAGGTATAAAGGGATCTGCCCTTCCCAGGAGCAGAGAGGCGGCAGGGATGCTGGAGCCATCAACCTGCCGAGGCAGGACGGACCCGCGGACAAAGGCGGCCACCCCAGAGGGAGCAGGGCAGAGACCGCGGCTGACAAAGCCCTCGGCAGGGGCAGAGATGCTCCGGAGATCCCGCTCCGCTCGCATCCCAAGGCGGCCGCCCGCGGCTCGGGTCCTTCCCCGCGCCAGGGCAGAGCGGGACCGACCGGGGCCATTTCGGCGCCGCTTCCCCGGGCCGCCCGGCAGGCGCGTTTTCCTGCCTGTCCAACCCCACCCTTTCCCGGGATGGTGCTCTCCCCGGTACCTTTTCTTTGAGAAAAACCGAGGAAACCCATCTGGAAAAAAAAAAAAAAAAAGAAGAAAAAGAGGCAAAAAGCGGGGTGGCAGCCCCGGGGGGGCAGCGGTGAGGCAGGGCACGGCAGGGCACGGCGGGGCGGGCGGAGGGCGGGCGCAGGGAGGGAGCGAGGGAGCGGCCCCGTCCCTTTGTACCTGCCGTTCGAAGGCGCCAGGCGGGCCCGCATTGGCTGCGGCGGCCGCGGCTCCGTAACCCGAGCCGGGGCGGGCGCGGCGCACCGGGCCCGGCCAGCGCCCAGCCCGGCAGCCAAGGGGCGGCTCGGCTCGGCTCGGCTCGGCTCGGCTCCGCTCCGCCGCCAGCAGCCGCCTCTGCCTGCGCGCCGCTGGGCTCGCTGGGGCAGGGCCGCGCCGCCCTGCCCGGCAGGAGGTGGGACCAAGCCGCGGCGCTGCCGCCCCCTCCTCCCTCGCTCGCTCGTTCCTCCCTCGCTCGCTCCCTCCCTCTCGAGGGCTGAGCCATTCCGGGAAGGCGCCGGCTCCCCCACCGCTCCTCGGCAGCGCCGCACCGGCATCGGCCGCCACCACCGCGCCGGGCTCGGCCCCACGGCGCTCCGGGGCTGCGGAGGCTCAGCGGCGGCAGCGGCGGCGGGCACGGAGCGCGGTGCCCCGGCGGGCGCGGCGGGCGGCGGGCGGGCGGGAGGACAAGTGGACGGAGCGCCGGGGAGCGGGGGGGCGGCCGCCGCGTAGTTGTTTTGCCCGGGGTAAGTTGGCCGATCCCTGCGGAGGCTTCGCTCCGAGCGTGCAGCGCTTGGCTCCCGGCTCCGTGTCGCCCCCAGCCTCCGGGGCAGGGGGGGCGCCTTTTTTTATTTCATCCCCCCCTCCTCCCCCTTTGGTTTGTGTTTTCTTTTTATCATTATTATTATTATTATGGGGTCTATGGGGGAGCAGAATTTCCAGTCCGGCGTTGCTCTTCTTCCTTGTCCAACGCTCAACGGAGAACTATAATATTTCTTTCCCGAGATGCTGCAGTGATTTTTAGTTATAGGAAATCAGGCGAACAAAATAATCCGAATAACACGAACCATTTGTTATCCTGTGAGAGCCAACGCAGCCTAGGCACAGATGATGGCAAAAAATTCCATGGAAGGGTCTAAAGAAGACCTGAGCAAAATTACGGAAGAGGAGATGCTGAGATGGAGCAAGGAAGAGCTGGTGAAAAGACTGAGGAAAGTGGAGAATGAAAAGATGAACTTAATGGTGGAACACGGCAACTTGATGAAAGACGTGAACCGGCGGCTGCAGCTCCACCTGCACGAGATCCGCGGGCTGAAGGAGGTGAACCAGAAGTTGCAGGACGACAACCAGGAGCTGCGGGAGCTCTGCTGCTTCTTGGACGACGACCGGCAAAAAGGCAAGAAGCTGTCAAGGGAATGGCAGCGCTTCGGGAGGCACACGGCCAGCGTGATGTGGAAGGAGGTGGGCATGTACCAGCAGAAGCTGAAGGACCTGGAGGCGCGGCAGGAGACCCTCCTTCGGGAGAACGTGGAGCTGAAGGAGATGGTGCTGATGCTGGACGAGGAGCGGAGCGGGGCCGGCTCGCGGAGCTCCATCGACAGCCAGGCCAGCCTGACCAACCTGAACGGCGGCTCGGCCACCAGGGACGTGGGGGACGGGAGCAGCACCTCCAGCACGGGCAGCGCGGGCAGCCCCGACCACCATCACCACCACCTCCACCACCACAAGGCCGGCGACAGCAAGGCCGGGGCCATGCGGAGGTCTATGGATGACCTGTCGGCGCCCCTTCACCACCGGAGCATCCCGAACGGCCTCAATGGTGAGCGAGCCCCTGCCCTGCCCTCCCTGCCCCGCGCCGCTCCCCGTGGGGTCCTGGCCATTCCCAACCCTGCCCATCCTTGTGACCTCCTTGGCACAGCAGTCCCGGGAGCCGGGGAGGGGCACCTGTGTGCGGGGTGTGCGTTATCAGTGCGTTCACTGTGTTATCGAGGTCCTGGGCTCAGGGTTGGAGCCTCTTTTATCTCCAGCAGGGTTGGTGTTTGGTTTTGTTTGTTTGTTTTGGGTTTCTGTTTTGACAAAAATCAGCCTGGGTTTTCAGGGTTAAATAAACACTGATTGTGTTCCCACTCTTCCACCTCTTTCTCTCCCCCTTTAAATATTTTCGTTTATGTTTGGCTTGTTTGTGTGCTAGATTGATAAGATTGATAAAGATGGGATGAGATTTTGGAGGCATCTGATGAAAGTTCGGGTTTGTCCCACAGAGCATCACCTGTTAGCTCCACAGGCTCTCAGGGCAGGCTGGCTGTGGAGTGCTCAGCAGTTTTGGAGAGGGGCATCTCGGCTTTCCCCGTCTCCACTTCAGAAAGAGGAGTTTTGTTTGTAGAGAAGAGATTGCTCTCGAAGGGACGCTGTGCTCACGATTTTGTTCAGGCTAGTCATTGAAGTTAGAAACAAGCTCCACAGTGGAATCGTGCCAAGCCTCCTCTGGCAGCTCACATCCAAGCAAAGTTGCTCCTGTTGTCTAATAGTGATCGGGCATTGACATAACATTGAAATATCTTCAAAATGGAGATAAAAAAAAATCTTTTAAAACCAACAAGACCAAATACATGACTTTTAGATTGTGTGGTCAAGAGGATTCAGTAGGAATCAGACCAGGCAGCAATCTAAAAACTTCTTATATATAAGACTACTTTTAATGTTCTTAATCCTCTTTTCCCACCAAAGAGGGCTGTTTTCTTTGTGGGGTGTCCTTTACCCACCTATAAGCACATAGAGGGGGATGGAGCCCCAGAAGTTGGCTCCGATTGATGTCAGCAGTGGATGTGCTTATCAGATAACCATGCTTTCAGCTCCCAGAGCTTTTGGTGTTCTTTTTTATTTCTGGTGATTTGTGGCAAGTCTTTATGTCCCAAGAGACCTGAGGGCATGGGGGATTGATGAACTCCACAAGTGAGCACGTTCATCCATGAACGTGCTGTTTGCAGTCCTGCTGCCCCAGTGTGTGCCAGCTCACGGCTGGAGATGTTCTGGCCACCTTGCCCAGTAGTCAGGGATTGCTGGTTTCAAGGGTGATCCACTCACCAGATGGTGCATGGTTCAGCAAACATCTTTAAATGTTTGGTGTGGAATTTTTTAATCTCTCTCTCGTAGAGCTGTGTAAATCAGAAGTATCTGCTTTGTAAATCTGCAGATAGCTTCTGCTCCTGACGTGACTTGACTTTATTTTCATAAAGCACTGCTCTCCACAGAGGCTTGAGGAGCACATGACAGGTATTGACTGTGCTGTTACTGTTATGGAACAGAAAGGATTCACAGCTCTGGTTTGTGAACCTTAGACCGTGTCCCTTTTAGGTGTTGGTAGCAGAACGGGACAAAGCCAGTTGAATTCATCTGTTAACTCAGGGCTCTTGAGTACACAAAACATAACCAATGCCTTAGAGCTGTCCCTTCAGTCCGGGGTGACAGCACAGTGGGGTGCTTCACTAGGGATTCAGAGTCACCCTTGTCAGCTCAAAAAGGGAAACCTCAGTTTCAGAGCTCGGTCCTCATTACGCTGTGTGTGGGAATGTGCCCAGCAGCATCTTTTGGACGGGACTGGGAGCCGAGTGTCATGTCCTGCTGTAGGGTAAGGGTAGGAAAGGGTGACCATCTGCACACAGTGCTTCCATGCCTGCCTCTGCACACCCCTTCCCATTTCCTCTGTGGGAAGGATGGCTATGGGCTTGAGCATTTCATTAAAACCTTTAGGTTTTGGTGACTTCTGGTTCTGGGGTGCCTGTGGAAGGTGGTCTCTGTGGGAAGAACTGAAGCTCTTCCCTGCGAACCAGCGCGGCTTCATTTCCGAGGGTGCAGCGGAGATGATCGGCACTTTTAAAGCTAATAATCCTTGTAAAGATGTAGACAAGCCTGATCTCTCCACTTAGGTAGTGAAGCTGTAAAATGACTTGAATAGTTGTCATTCTCAGATAGCATCGGTATTCAGCAAGGCCATTTCCCTGGCTGTGCCTTTGGAAATGCCTCTCAATACATATGCAAATGCAGGGCTTATCAGGCCCCTCTTTTTGACTGACAGCAAGAAGTCTGGGAGTGTTTGCCTGGGACCAGCAGCAATTCTGTTAATCCTGTGACGGTGTAGAGGAGCAGGGCAGGAGCAGGTGAACATGAAAAACCACTCCAGTGAGTCAGGTGGGCGGTGGAGCTGTCACGGAGCAGCCCCGCAGTGAGCAGCGAGCCGTGTCTCCTGTCCCTGCTCCTGTCCCTGCTCCTGTCCCTGCCTTCCTGTGTGCAGCCGAGAGCTCAGCCTTTTTGTGCTGTCCTCTTGGTGAGCTTTATTTTCCTCAGGAATAAAACAGAAGGAAGGCAGAGGAAAGGGAGTGCGTGGCCTTTCATTTTTTGGTTGTAAGCTTGCTGTTGTCTCATGTCTTTAAAGCACTGGAGAACTGAGCAGAGGGTGAACCAGCGACTGCCCGGCCAGCTCAGCTGCTACTGAAATGAGCAGCCCTGTGTGCTTTCTTAGGGAGAGGAGGTGGCTGGAAGGGATGCAGTGCAGAATTTAGCATCTCTAGTAAGAACTCGGCAGAAGCTTTGGACAAGTGGTAGGAGCAAGGTTGCTACTTCGGAGCTGCTTGCTGGAGTATTTTTGCGTATGGAAAAGCTGGAAAGTCCTGAAATTGGGAGCTGGAAAATGCAGAACTCTACTGCCCCGGCTAATGGTATCCATTGAGCTTCACTTGTTAAGTGCTTTTCTAAAGGAGTCAGGAGTATTGTGACTGCTAAAACACTTACAGGAAGGTAGATTTTTAGTAGAATCTTAGTGAGCAAAGGTGGGTTAAATGTTTCCCATTTTCTGTTCAGCGATCCTTGGAAGTGAGTTGTTGAACCAGGGCTTGATTTATTGGCCCCAGTGACCCACCCCATTGTGAGGTGATGAACTCTAGATTTGTAAGGTGAATTCAGAATAAATGGTGTAAGTGTAAAAAAACACCCCCAACCCAACTGGTGGTCTAGCTTTGCTTCACTTTTCTGAAGTCTATTTACTTCTGCAAGTTGTCTTTCAGAAGCTGATGATTAATTATTCACTCATGGAAGATAATAATTATAACATAGTGTGAGAATGGCTAATATTAGAAGACATGTAATCCTGTTTATTGAGAAAGTGAGAGGTTTGGTCAATCTCTGTGTGCACAGGGGCCTGGGCTGTGGGACAGGGGCACCCCAAACTGTGTGATGGAAGCTGGCCAGGTGCCTCTCTAAGGATATGTCACAGTTCTAAACCTACCCAGATCTAGGGCAGAAATTGAGGCACAGTCACTGTGTGTGCTTGTGAGTGCTTTGGCTCTCCTTTTTATGCATGGTGTGGATCTCTGTGTGCACACACAATCTTTCTGCCCATCCAGCTTCAGACAGCTCTGTTGAAGCAGCTGCTTGGAATTAGGTTTGAAAAAGAGAATGAAAAAAAAAAAGGTCAGGCACATTTTGTGATATTGATATTAACATGACCTGGGGGAAGAAAAACCCCTCGGGTTTATTCCCACAGGTTGTATTCCTGGACTGTGAGGTATGTGGGAACATTGGGAGGATGACTCAGAGTTCCCTGAGGCCAGGGCAAGGGCTTCCACCGGTTTTGGCCTTATCTGGATCTCACTGGGACAACTGTTCATCCATCTTCCAGCCTGGAGGCATACAGGCTCAACTAGCAATGTGCCCGGGACTGAATCCTGTGCATGCAGGGAAAGCATTCAGGCTTTAGGTTTAGTTCACTCCCATCAGCTGAAGTTGTCATAGAACCTCACCTTCCACTGGAACTGTTTTTTGCTCTAGGTTCCTGAAATGGACTGGGTGGTTTCCAGTGTCTCTGGCTTTATTCCAGTTGGGTGAAGTGTTAATTTTGATGTTTTGTTTTTATAAATGATTGAAAACATCAACAATTAAAAAGTGGTCAGGGAGGCCCAGAAAGAAGCTGTGGGTACAGCAGAGAGCCTGTAGTAGACAATAATCTATGGCCTCTTGTTGCTGTCTTCTCCAGTGAAAGAAGAATGCTCTCTCTGGGTGAGGGGGTGGGAAGATCTCGAGTTGTATTGATTCCCACTTGTAGATGTCCACATATTTACCTAGAGGGTACAATATATTGCAGTTAAAATGGTGGCAGAGAGAAATGGCTGCTCTCTGTGGGTTGGTATTGATTGGTAATGCAGCTGCCCTTCTTTGGACACCCTTAAGGCCAAAAGACTTTGTTTTATTAGTGTATTAATAATCAATATATTTATTATTTATGATGGGATATTAATGAGGCCTTTGAGACGAGAATATGCAGGGGCAGAGGCAAAAGATGAGGTTCATCCCATTTAATTTGAGATATCTCCAATATAGACTTTAACATCTGCATTGCCCTGGACATCCTTTATTGGCCACGTGGAGAGGAGGCACTGTGGTGTGATGATTTATGTGAACTGTGTCTGTATCAAAGAGAGCAGAACTGTGTGCTGGTTGTGCTCTTTCCCTCCGCTGATGCCTGGTCAGCTCATTCATATGCAGCCCTCTAAAGCCAGATGAGATCAGCCCTGTTCCAGCTCTTGTGGTGACCATTGTCCACTTTTGCAGTGCTCCTGTCCTAGCTCTGGTGAAAGAGAGGAAATTGCCTTTCTCAGCAGCATTCAGATACCACCCCCTTACAGTCCCTCACTGTGTGGGCAGGCCAGGTCAGAGAAAGTCCTGTTCTCTGTGCTGGAGACCTCTCAGAGCTCAGTGGCTCCTGCCAAGATTAAGCACAGGTTTGGTTACGTGACCAATTATTTTCTTTCTTATATCAAGAGCACT